TTAAAAAAAAAAAAAAAAAGAGGCACGGTTCTGCAGTGTCCAGCCTCCATGGCCCCTCAAGCCCGGACTCAGCCTCACTTAGAGCCTGAACTCTATGTTCAGTGTTTTGCTCACACATCTGGCCTCGCCCACAGATGGTAGAGTCAAGAGTCCACTGAAGACAAGGCCCCGACTTAGCTTTCTGAACTGGGGTAGGGCAGGCGGGCTTTCAGTTCAGATACTAAAGAAAGCACTTCCATGGTGGTCACTGAAAGGGAGGGAAGGTTTTTCTAGCACCCGACTTCTTTCTTCTAAAGAAAACCAGTTCATGATGCTATAGATACAAGAAGCTGCCAAAGTCATCAAAGCAGTCATGAACTACTGCTCCATCTTTGCTTTTTAGCTCTGCCCAGATAAAAAATGAAGATTCTGGAAGCAGGGAATACAAGGGAACAGCATTTCAGGAACAAAAAATAGCTGCTCAGTAAACAGCTGTTGACTGTGAGCCTCAGGTCACAACAACAGAGACCTGCACACATTCCCCTCAGAACAGCTGTGAAGGGGGTGACAAAAGAAGAGCTCATGGAAAAGACACAGATGCATTCCAGAAGGAGACAGAAAGCCACTGGGAGAAAGGAGGAGGGGCTAGCTGCAGACACTCCAAGGGTACACAAGCCCTCTTCCCTCCCCGCCCTGCACTAAGGAAGCAGGACATGGATTGGGCTGTGTGCAAGGAAGGCTGGAGAAAAGCTCAGCCTGGGAAACGTAAGTCAATGGGCAGTGGCCTCTGGGGAGGTCAGCCTCGATCACCCCAAAAGACAGTCCCATGGGTGTGCCACCCTCATGAAGCCTCTCCCGACAACACGGGAAGATGCTCGCAGCCCGCTCACATCTTAGTCCTTTGCTATGTGGAAATCAACAACTCCCTGGGTCACCTGCCCGAAAGGCACCAGAAGCCACCAGCAAGAAGAAAGGGAGAAGGGCAAGAATAGCCCACTCAGGTCGCAGTAGGCGTATTCGTTCCATGAAGCATCAACAAGCTTGGAAGTGCCACCTGGAGCACAAACGACCAAGAGACAGTAACATTTGACATGATAAGGCCAAGGCTCTCTAGTTGACTAGACTCCATGATCTAGAGAGAGCTCCTGTGTGGTTCTGGGAAATCCTTTGAACTCACTTTCCTCAGCTGTAAAAAAGGCCACGTTACTAAAAGATGAATCTTCAGATGTACAACGGTTGACATAGCTGGCTTTAAAGACTCGAAAAAGCAAGGGTCCAGTACCATATTCCCTCATTCAGTTACATAATGGGAAAGCACAGGCCCTGGTGTCAAGTTGAGAAATGCTAAGCAGGTCGACACAGCTCCCATCCTTAGAAAGTCCGTCATACTCAGGATATCTCTGCTTGACTTTTTTCCACCACACAGTAAGCCTGGGTCACAGACATGGCCCCCGAGATACACATTCGACTCCCCCGCGCTCTGGGCCTGTGGTGCTCGCCACAGCGAGCTGATGACAGAGGGTCCCAGGAGGTTATGTGCCTCTCAAGAAACACCAAGGGCCACACTCTGGACTTGCCTGGAACATTCACTGGCAGCCAGGGGACTCCAAGCACATGACCCAAGTAAATAATCCCAAAGAGATGCATCTCCACGGCAGTTTCTCTTTTAAGGGTGTCTTAGGCAGGTTCTTAAATGTTCTCTCTTCTAGCCCATATGAGCAAGAAAAGTGAAAAGCTAAATGAGCAATTCAGGTAGCTTCACCACACACTGCCTGTCCCAACTACAAGCAAACCCCTCTCTGCGTAGGATGCTCAACTAAGCAGAGAAAAAGCCATACGAGCACATACGTCACAACCGCACTGCAGAGTGCCCGAACGGCGTGCTCACGCAGACAGCAGAGTGAGATGTCTCTGTGTGAACGAGGAGTGAAGCCCCAAGGACAGAAGTGCTGTGACCAGGAACTTCTCCACACCTCCCCACAGTGGCTCCCACACAGTGAGAAGGAAAATGACACACAGAGCAGGCACCTACACGCTACGTTAACCTTAATCAGAAGGCACGTCATCCTGTGGACACACAGGAGTCACAGGCATGACTGAAGGAAGGTTCATCAAGGAAGATAATAAGACGCTTCCGACCTTCTAGACGCACAGAGGCTGACAACCCGCGGTGGTGGAACCCTTCCCTCTGTAGGGTACTGGCCTCTCTGCCTGCTGTGTGGTCCATCTGCCATCTGTCAAAAATCCCACTCAGACCTGACACAATCATGACTGTGTCTAAATAACATTTCTCAAATAAAATCAGCTGCTACATTTTTTTTCCTTTTTTAAGCTGATCTAAGGCTAGAGTTCTTCTGGCTGATGGGCTAAAGAGCTACTAAAATGCCTAACTTGTGGCAATGAGCAAGAGAAAAAGTGAAGACCGAACATATCCCAGGTACTTGAGAAGTGCAGCCCACCTCGGTTTCTCAGACTCCTTCTTACTGCCTCTGCCACTTCTGAGAGGTCTGTCCTTCTCAGAATCCGTGTCTGGTTCAGACCCACTGCTACTCGATAGTCCATGTTTTCTCTTTGTCTTCTTGTGATGCTTCCTTTTTTTCTTTTTCTCTTTTTTCTTTTTTCTGCTTGTTTGTTTGACCTTTTTGCTAGGGTCACTTTCATCTGAAGACTCTGGCTTCAAAGGACTCCTGTTTGGGGAAATCAACTTTAGAATAAGTGAATAAGTATGTAAAGGGGAACTCCATAAACACTCATGGAGATTTGCTATTTGCTCATATATTACACAGTACCTTCCTCGGTTACCCCTTACCTTAAAGCAGAGGTCCCGAACCCCTGGGCCACGGACCAGTACCAGTCCGTGGCCAGTTAGAAATCAGGCCACACAGCAGGAGGCGAGTGACAGGCAAGCAGAGCTCTGCCTCCTGTCAGGTCAGCCACAGCATTAGATTCTCATAGGAGCATGAACCCTATTGTGAATTGTGTGTGTAAGGGATCTAGGTTGCGCACTCCTTAGGAGAATTTTGCCTGATGATCCCAGGTGGAGTTGAGGAGGTGATGCTAGCGCTGGGAGCAGCTGCAAATGCAGATTAACATGAGCGTGAGGTTTGACCACACATTGCACCCAGTTCATGGAAAAACTGTCTTTCACGAAACCAGTCCCTGATGCCAAAAAGGTTGGGGACCTCTGCCTTAGAGGCTTAAGAATTGAACTTGAATTTAAAAAACAGGCTAAAAGATTCTAAATTTTAAGTTTCTAAACCTATACTTTCATACTTATACATCTTTAAGTGAAAGCAACTTACTACTTATTTTATCAAATATAGTATTTTTTAAAACATAAAAGGTTTATTTTCAGTGCCCCATATTACACTAACATCTTCTTAATGGAAAAAAATTAATTGTAGTCCTAAAGAGAAGAAGGAGCTCTTCCTCCTCATTATAAAAACCTACAAAGGCCCTTTCGTGTACCAACTATTCCCAATTTCCAAAAGCTTCTTACACACTAGAGCTCAAAGTTCACGGGGTCTTCGCCCTATTAATGAAACCAGCTAGTCTGCACATGTGAGACAGCATAGTTCTCAGTTCAGTGATCTAAAACAAAGCCCTTTCACAGTTGGGTTGAGATGTGTGCCATCTTGCTTTCCCTGACATTCTCTTGGGATTTTTCTCCTACTATGTTATACAAGCTCCTTCTATTTTTACAAAAGTGTCGAAAATGTAGCTAAAGAAACATTGGAATTACAATATTCTAAAGGTTACTAATGAGGTTAGTAAAGTTACTTAAGAATAACAATGATGCCATTTCCCTCATGGCCTAATTATAGGCACTAACTGTGTCATGTACTTGCTGCTGCAAAGCAAAGAAAAAAAGGAACCATCTGGAAGAGTGAGGTAAGGGAAAATAGTCAAAGATCACCTCATTACTTCAAGAGTTTTCCTTTAGCTCTCTTACCCCAGGGTTTTCTAAGGAGCATCATTTAAGTTAAGCTATAGAGAGTAGACTGACCAAAAAACCCATCTGTCACTACCTTATCAGTGGTGACTCTTCAGAAACAAAGGCAGCAGCCGCTTCAGCCTGCTGACTCAGGGACGCTATGGATCCGACACAAAAGCTGGGGTTGCTCAGCCAATCCAACTCTGCACACACAAAAGGGAGAAAGATCAGTGACATCAGCTCCGTACGACTCCTACAGCAGGACATCCATCCATCTGGTCAGCTGGCATCCCAGTTCACAGCCAATGTCAGTCAGACATGTAGAGCAGTCCACACAAGTGGAACAGAACCTGTGAAATGCTGATTTCACAGCACACAGCCCTTTCGCACTTAAAACACTTAAGGCTGAAACTCCCAGTGATTCTGCTCCCGGGAGCAGAAGCCACATAACAAGCGTGGCCTACAAGCAACGCGACGTCACATATTCATGTATTCCATGAATGCCATCTAATGAGCGTGAGTGCTTCCAAAGCTTTAGGCTTCAGTGATCCCACATTTGATTTAGACAATTCCTAAAAGTTAAAAAGTCAAATCATGCCTAAAAGCCCAACATGCTTAATGTTATCATAGAAGACCCTTTAAAAAATAATTCGTGCTCTACCTGAGTAAACTAACTTAACAAACCTGTCCTTAAAACAGCACTCCTCTTGGACATAAAAAGATGCCAACTTTCAATGGTAAAACTATACAAATGTTAACACTGTAATGAGTATCTCTAGGCAGTGATATTAAATATCTAAAGTTTTCTTATTTCTGGTAATACATAAGTTCTAACTTTTCTACAATGAATTCAGTATAAATAACTTAATTTCTAACTTTTAGAAGTCTTAGCTGTGAAGGGAAGAAAAAACCATGGGCTGGTAGTAGCAAGGGAGTCTGCAAAGAAGGTCGTATGTTGCCCTGTTTTGTCACGGGATGGAGGCCAGTGCATATTCACACACTGAGAAGAAAGAACCCAGGAAATAGTTGAAGACAGAAGAGAAAAGGGTAACAGCATTCTTAATGTTTTATTGAGATATAATTTACAACCTGGGCAGTATAGGGAGACCACATCTCCACAAAAAATACAAAAATCAGCTGGGCATGGTCGTACATGCCTGTAGTGCCAGCCAGCTACTCAGGAGGCTGAGGTGATAGGATCTCTTGAGCCCAGGAGGTCAAGGTTGCAGTGAGCCGGGAATATGCTACTGCACTCTGGCTTGGGTGACACAGTGAGACCCTGTCTCAAAAAAAGAGAGAGAGAATTTACATAATACAAAGTTCATTCTTTTGAAGTGTACAATTTAATGGTTTTTAGTGTATTCACAAAGTTGTACAGTCATTCCCAAAACTCTAGGACATCTTTATCATCCCAAAAGGAAACCTCATACCTATCAGCAATCTGCTCCCATCACCCCCTTCACCCCTGGGCAACCACTAATCTCCTTTCTATCTCTTCAGATTTGCCTGTTTTAGACATTTACTATAAATGAGCTTATACACTATATGTGGTCTTTTGGACCAGCTTCTCTCACTTGGCATAATGTTTTCAAGCTTCATCCATGCTGTAGCATATATCAGTACTTCACTCCTGTTTATTGCCAACTATTATTCCAGTTTATGGATATACCACATTTTATCTATTCATCAGTTGATGGACACTTAGACTATTTCCTCGTTTTGGCTATTATGAAAAATGCTGCTATGAATATTCATGTCCATATTTCTACATAAACATGTTTCCATTTCTCCTGGCAGATACCAGCAGCAGAACTACTGGGTCATCTGTTAACTTATGTTTAGCATTTGGGGGAGCTGCCGAGACTGTTTTCCAAAGCAGCATTTCAGATTTCTATCAACAGTGCATGAGAGTGCCAATCTCTCCATTCTTGCCAACACTTGTTACTATCTGTCTTTTTATTACAGTCATCCTAAAGGGTGTGAGGTGGTATCTTAATGTGGTTGTGAATTCCATTTCCCTCATGACTAATGATGTTGAGCACCCTTTCATGTTTGTATTGGCCATCCACAGATGTTCTCTGAAGAATTATCCATTCAAATTCTTTACCCATTTTCAAACTGGATTGTCTTTTTGTTATTCAGTTTCGAGAGATCTTTATATAGTTTGGCTACTAGTCCTGTAGGGTAACTGCATCTTAGTGAGGAGGAGATACCAGAACACATGCTCCCTGAGGACAGGGGTTCTGTTTTCATCACTGCTGTATCCCTGGCACCTAGAGCACTGCCTGGCAAACAGCAAGTAGACAACCAATGTTTGTGAGAAAAGGGGGAAAGAGGATGGAAAGAAAATTCCAAAGAAGGAAAGGTACATGAAGCACACAGGAAGATAGGAAAGATGCGCGAGCTTCTAGGCCAGGTGCCACAGGAGGCCAATGCCAGTCTGGTTCTCCGTTTTTCTATCCTCACAACGAGGCTCCAGGGGAGGCCTTACAAGCTCCACTCTACATCCGAGGAAGGAGGAAGAACCTAGGCTTAGAGAGATTTAGCCATGGGTGAGGCCACGCCCAGTATGCAGCTATGCAACTGCTCATGCTCTCTTCCCCTGACACTTCCTTTCCCTTCTGGGGTTGGTTCCCTTCCCTTGGGCCTAACTCCTGGCAAAAGATACTGAAGACAGTTCCTGTGGCTCATTGAGATCACAATTATGTCCATGATAATCAGATTCTATCATGAACAAAGGAAGAGAAAAGTGGGAAAAGATGGAACAGACAGGACACAGGAAAGCAACTCTGGCAATCCTTGTGTTGTTTTACATAAATAGTCTAAGTAGTGATGACAGCAGGGAGGAAATGTAAAGAAATGCAGACATTGCAACAATATGAAGTATGTGACTCTCCCAAGTCCTTCAGAAGGTACAAGGTTCTTTGAGAACACAATGGAGGCTTTGCCATTTAAGACCACTGTGATAAAACCTGCTTACAGAGAATTCAAACTCTTGGGTTTTGAACCTGCAAAATCATGGACCCTCTGTATGACCTTTATCTCAACCACCTGACAAGAGGGTGGCTTTGTTTTGTGTTTTGGTAGCATATTAGCACAAATGAGTATAGACTATTATGAGGCACAGTCACCAGGTGCTGGACATGGCGGGTTTTAGAGATCACCAAGTCCATAGATTTCCAAACTGTTCTTAGCCAAGGAACTCACCTGTCAAACAGAATCTTTCTAAGAAGTCCAACATGCAGAAGAGAAAAGGCAGGGTGCTCTGGTTGGGGGTTCAGGACATCTGAGGAGGCTCTCAGGGCACAGCCTGACACTACCCTCACTTACACATCAACAGCTGGAGGCCCAAGATGTGAGGTCATGCGATCAAGAGCACGCACCAGACCTAGCTCAGGAATCTGCTCCAGGACCCTCACCACCCCAGGGCACTCTCTTCACCTCCTCAACTCGGCAGGGGTTCCCTGAAGTCTCCTGACAACTGTTACATGGGCTATACGGCCATTTTCACAGTGTGCCCACATCCTCTGCACGTCAGTCTTCCCACTACATCCCAAGCCAGGTAAACAACTCAGTCCTCAAGGGCCCAGATCAGCCACGATCACTGGGATACCACAGAAAGGGGCAACAGAAAAAAGATACAATCACAAATATTCTGCCAGTCAACAAACATCCCACTGGTTTACAACTCTTATACTCAAGTCTCCAGTGCCCTTCCTCATCCCTTGTCAAACCACAAACACATGAGGGCAGAGTTCATGACCACGCGCCCTTGTACCCCCATACCTGCACAGAGCCTTGGCACCACCAGCTGGACTTACGCACATCTGCCGAATGTACACATAAGCAAGGCTATGGCCCACACCTCTGCATCTATACCCCAAGTTCTCTCAATTGAACAACCTGAAGAAATGGGGAATCTTCACATAATCCATGATCTAGGTACAAAGTACAACTATTATAACTCTTCCATTCTTCAAGTAAATGTACATTTAATCACTCAATACACTATTGAATACCTACTGTGTGTCCAGTGCTGCTTCCTATGGTGTCACAGGCCCTGGTCCCTGTAAGGATTTAAGCTATTGACCTTGGCCGAGGTCCAGGCATTGGGCACAGTGATGAACCAGAAAGTTCTGCCCATATGGTGCGTATAATCATAACCCTATCTGGGCACGTAACACGCCAGGACTGTTCAATTCAATTTTAGTCAAACAGAATCCCAGAGAAAGTTATCTGAGATTAAAAGATGTGTAGCTTAGCCTATAATCCCAGCACTTTGGGAGGCTGAGGCAAGTGGATTGCCTGAGCCCACGGGTTCGAGACCAGCCTGGGCAACTTGGCAAGACCTCAACTCTACAATAAATAAAAAATGAGCCAGGTGTGGTAGCGCACACCTATAGTTCCCACTACTTGTAAGGCTGAGGTGGAAGGATCTCCTGAGATGGTAGGTCGACACTGGGGTGGCCGTGAGCATGCCACTGTACTCCAACCTGGGCCTGGAGTGAGACTCCAACTCAAAAATAAAACGAAACAAAAACCAAAAAGACACGTTGTTAATCAGATTTTAAAATCGTTTCCAACAGTTACAACTGCACATAATTTACATAGTTGATGGAAATTAAATATGCATTAAGTAACTGTCAATACTGAGCAGGATATAACACTGACAGAGAAGACCAGTAGGATACCAATGCCTAGGGCTGAGAGAGAGAATCTGGCCAGCTGACAAAGTCTTTGTCCCTGCGAGTTAGTATGTAAATCACAGGTTGGAACTCGTCTGGAAATTAACACTCTGCCTTACATTTTATACACATCCTAGAAAGGAAGAAGGTGGACATGTCAGGCAGAAAAGTCACTTGAGAACTACTCACTGCCTAACAAAACAGGCCTGGTGGAAATGTGGCACATGTAAAAATCCACGGTAATTTGGCAGAAGATAATAATAATGAATCATCACTGAATACTTTAGGCTGAAATACTTTTTGTGATATGTTTATTATATAAGCCTGTTTCTCCAATACCTGAGAAAATTATTAAATTCAATTCAGATAGAGGAAGGAAGGAATGGTCATGCAAACATTTAAATTTTAAAAACAAACTCTTATTCATAATTGGATAAAATATCTCAACCTCTACACCCACTACTCATTCTATTATAACAAGATAGTGCTGATAACAAGTTTGTTTAAGTGAACTCAGA